TTCCTTCCTTTCTTTCTTTCTTTCTTTCTTTCTTTCTTTCTTTCTTTCTTTCTTTCTTTCTTTCTTTCTTTCTTTCAATTAAGAGAAGTGTTGCCAAACCTGACCTGCTAAATCAAAGGTGACCTGCTTACAAGCTAAGATGCGTGTTGCTAGACCTGAGGGGATGGCATATGCACTGTTTCAAAAATGAACTTGTTCAAGATACGAAGCAAGGTCTTTGTGAGGAGAAAAGTCAAGCTTGGCAGTGTGGGGCATCTCAGTGTTGGAGTGATGAGGGGGTTTCTTTAGGGGAGGGTGCACAAGCTGTTCTGGTTTTTGTAGGATAGGTTTAGAAATATGCGTTAGTGCCAGTGTTAATTGCTGCTTGTTCAGAATGTGATGGAATAACCCTCCAGGCCATAAGCTATCTCAACTTGGCTTGTTGACTAGCCCATGTTTGTATTCAATAAGCTAGGGATCCTGGCTTAAATGCTGCCTTTACTACCCTCCCCTAGAGATGAAGATGAAATCATAGACTTCATTCCAAATGCTGTTGGCTCGGATTTCTTTGACCCACACAGGATCAAATAATTAAAGTAAAGCAATTGGGGCCGGGGGGAAGAGCTTAAAATGTTTAAATTTATAAGATTACATTTGTAAAATAGGACGAGGCTGGGCTGTTTTTTCCAATGGCGAGGCGCAAGGCCTGCTTGGGACTCTTCTGATTAGGTCAGAGAGGTGCAATCACACTGAGCAGGATTTCCTTCTAGGTATGTTTAGCATGAAGGAGATTTCCAGATGATTCCACTGGAAGCAGATCAGAAGCGTGAGCAAACGAGACATTTGTAAGAACCTAACAGGCAGAGCGGTGGGAATCTTCTCCCTAAATGCATCCTGATTGAACAATTACGTGCCATCCATTCAGTCTTGACTCTTAATGACCACAGAGACAGACCTTCTGTCACTTTATCTTGTCCATCCATGAGGTTTTCTTGGTAAAAATGCAGGAGTGCTTTATCATTCTCTTCTCCTGAATAGGACGAAATGATGTCTTTGCTGCGGTCATCTGCCTCTAGTATCTTCCTATATTGCTGATACCCAGTATAAGCACCTCCTGGGCAGCTGGGAAGACCTTCATGCCTTGGGGGACCTTCCTGGGAGTAGATATTTGGCATACACACCCAGCCTTCTTTGTTCATCCCACCCAGGACCACACCCTGCCCCAGCCAAAATGAGGCATCATAGTAGGATGTGGGGGAAAGTATCTCCTTCCTGCTGTTATTCCAGAAGATAGAAATTCCAGTACTGGAAATAAGTAGAGGGTTTAGAAACATCTGGCATTGCAGAAAGTCCAGGTGCTTGAATGGAAGTCTTGATGCTTGAAGGAAGCCGTCATACCAAAGTCATTTTCAGTCCATAGACTCTTAGAACCGGACAAAGCCACGTAGGTTCCCTGATGGGTTCAGAGATCGAAACTGAAGCTTTCCCAACAGATCTCCTGTTGGTCTAGTAGTGAAGGCCCCAGGCTAGAAAGCAGGAGACGGTGAGTTCTAGTCCCGCCTTAGGCACGAAAGCCGGCTGGGTGGCTTTGGGCCTGTCCCTCTCTCTCAGCCCAACCCACCTCACAGGGTTGTTGTTGGGGGGAAAATAGGAAAAGGAAGGAGTATTAGGTGTGTTCAGTGCCCTGAGTTATTTATAAAAATAATAAAGGTGGGATAAAAAATCTTTAAAAAAAACCTTATTACAAGTGAAATAACCCCCAAATTCCTAGCCCATTTTCAAAAGGGCAAGAAAAAATTGGTTAAAGACACAGAAACTATCGGTGAGCATCTCTCTGGATCCCTAAGTTGCGGCAAGCTTTCTCAGTTTGATCCGTTAAATGAGTG